CCTCGAAAGATGTCGAACAGCACTTTATCAAGACTCCTTCATCCATAGAACGGCTAGGCTCTGGAATTCATTGCCTGTGGAAGTATTCCCAACAACATATAATCTCCAAAAATTCAAAAAAAATTCCAATACCTACCTCCTGTCCCTATCCTCCTTAGGAACGCACGATGTTCTTTGAACATTATAGGGATTCCCTTTCGTGCGCTCCAATCGATAAAAAAAAAAAAAAAAATGTGTGGATGGAATTCGAGCCTCATCTTTTCGATGTCGTTAACCGTTAGAGATACAGGGTCGGGTAAATTATGGCAAAGTTGCACAATTTTATGCCTAAAAATATTCGGTTTTAATATCTGAAGAATTTCGAACAGTTCCAGAGTTTTTTGTAAAAAATTAAAAGTAAAAAAAAACTTAATATAGAATCTTTTATATAAACTTTCTAAATAGAAGAAAATGAAATGTTCCTTCCAAATTTTAACTATCAACTAATTACCTCAATATACACAACTTATATGATCATGAAAGCTTGTCGCGATGATCAATATTCAATTAAATCGAAATTTCAATAATTCAAACAGCATCAGATTGTAGGAAAGGAATATTCTCAGATAAATTATGGACATACAAAAATATATGAAGCAATACATTGAGAATTCGCATTCTCTATGTGATGAGAATATCTACTCTTTTTCAGTACATTCAATAGAAAACAACTACTTTCCTGGCTATATGCCACGACGAACATTGAATTATATCAGGGGGTTCAAACTTGAACGATGGAAACTTGTGATTTTTATAGTCCTCTAATCGCAGATTCGTGATAGTCTCAATTCAGAATTTCTTTCCACGCCCTGTATGATGAATGTCAATTTATCGTACACCCAAAAGCATCAGATTTTTTATAATCAAATTAGTACTAGCTTATTTACACAAGTAAATCACCAAGTTGAATTTTTTTTTATGTTCTGGTTCCCACGAAAACGGATATCCTGTAATTTTAATCGTGAGAACCAAGGGAAATAAGGTAGAAATTGGTGTTATTCTTGAATTTCTGGGAGTTATATGCCTCGGGGAACACCTCCCTTGGCAATGTGTGCCAGAGCCTCGCTGTTAGTTGGATGACCGAGTCTTTGGAAAGAGATGTAATTAAATATCAATCATCGCAACAAGCTTTTATGATTATTGATGATTATATAATTATGTATATGAATTGTGTGTAATGAGGATATAAGTTGATACTCATAATTGGAAAGAAAAATCTTTTCTTCTTTTTGGAACGTTTAAATGAAAGCTTTTTTCGAAGTTTTTTTTACTTCTAGTTTATTTTTTAACATAATGAGTATCACTCAAAATTATCACGATAGTCACCCGTTGCTATAAGCAACGTAATCATTTTGTATAGCTGTAGCGGTTCTATATAGAAATTCTATATTATATTATAGAGAACAACTGTTTGAGTTGATTGATGATTTATTTATTTGACAAGTTGTCTAGCTATTGTCATCTATCAATATACCCTGTGATCATAATCACAGTTAATACAATTAACTTTACTACATAGTTCTCCTCCAAGAAATTCGATAATTTCTGACACAAGAAAATGAACTATAAGTATCATGGTATCACAAAGGAACCCAGCTGAATAATTACCAAAAAAATCAACATTCAACGTAAGCAGGTTTCAAACGATCAACTGAAATGTTGTCAGACTTTGATTTTATATTTAGTGTGAAAAATTTATCATTCCTCTCAAGCACCTCATAAGGACCGTCGTAGGGTTGTTGAAGCGGTTTCTTCACCGAATCTCTTCTAACAAAAACGTGCGTTGACGTGAACAGATCTGGATGAGTGAAATTTTTTGGTGAATTTTTGTGATGAGTGAAAGTACTCTTGAGCTGATTCATACATAATTTCAATTTTGTAACATATTAGTCTAAGATCCGAACCTAAGTCGACCTTCACCGAGCTGATAATAGAACGAAATATATTTTATCATGAATTTAGTATATTAGAAAACATATTAAAAATGGGTTGCCTAAAAAAATCCTGGGCAGACTATTTTTAATTATTTTTCGAAAAATTATTTTTAATTAAATGTTGCAACATCAGGATAATAAAAAAATTGTGTCCTGACTGAAAGTATGAAACGTATAGAATGTGCAGCCGTTGGGGTGTCTACTATTTACCTGGGCGAACTACTGGGTTGTCAGGTAAACACAGGTATATCGATGCCAGTTACTTTCACTGGATTGGATAATTTAAAAAAATGTATATCATCATGAGCGCTGTTTAATTGCGAACACGTTGATATAGGGTTGTCTGCGAAAATTCCGGTCCGATTAGGGGTTTTTAATTTCAACGCGCGTGGAAGTGTGTGACAGAGAGATCCGAGGTAAGTATACTGTGTGATAATAAAGGACCCAACATCGCAGTCGCTTGTGATGGAACCCTGAATAGTAGAAAGTGCGCATGCTCGGTGTGTAAACTATGGAGGGTAGAGGTACCTCTACTACCCTTCATATAGTAAACAGTGCGTGTTATTTTGGAGCAACTGATATTTCAGTAGCAAAAAAAAATAATTAATTAATTACATAATAATTAAATATATTTAATATAATACTAATATATAAAAACAATATAATATCAGTATATTGCGTTATAACCATAATGATATATCTATAATCTATATATATATATCTATTGAGTTATGTCTTGAGGTGAATGTTCCATATGGGATGAGTTTAGAAAATCGCTGATTTATTTATTTGACAAGTTGTCTAGCTATTGTCATCTATCAATATACCCTGTGATCATAATCACAGTTAATACAATTAACTTTACTACATAGCCTTCCAATTGGTAGAAAAAAAATTATGAAATGTATACTAATAATATATGAGGCACGAAAAAGATTCAGTATAGTTTTCGGAAAATCATCAAGTTGGGGAGATGTATTGATGGAAAATTGCGAAAACCAATTTCATATTGGAATCGTCAACATTGACCTGATATAGACTATTTCGCTCGAGAAGAAAGTTATTGTGTTAAATAAAATACTCCGATGAAAATAGTAATTATCAATACCTAGATAAAAATAATTGAATCCTCTCTATATTTCATGAACTCACGAGAGCAGTGAATTAATTGTTGTCTAAGTGTAAATAATATTTATTTCTACTATACGGTCTGGTGTATTTCGGATATTATTGGTCAACTGAGAAAGTAACATTTTAATTTCAATAATTAAATGGGAGATGGTTCTGCAAGGTCTGAGAAATTTTAAATGTCTTAAGAAGTGTAATATTATGATGACCAGTCGAACCGCTGATGGAAATTCTTCTAAAACTGTAAAATGGTAACCTCTGGCTATACACTGTGAAAAATAAACCTCTGCAAAATATTGAAAAAATCTCCATACTCCTAATTTGATGGCAAATCCTTCAGTTTTTTCTCATGCATTTTCTCATAATTCTTGAGCATATTCCTCGAAATGGTTTCGCAAATTTTTCTCTTATCTTTCCAGATTCTCGAGATTTTACTTCGTTAAATACATCTTAGTTCTTGCCTTGTTTCACTTTTTGAGTAAACAAAGTCAACCTCTTCAAAATTTCTATTCAGAGGAATAAGCAGGTTATTGTGAATTACCTCGTATATTCTACAGTAAGCAACATTCCTATGATGAGTGAGAGTAAGAGAGATGAGTAAGATTTCATTGATCTATCACATACATTTTCGAACTCTCAAAGTTTCATTGTATAAAACTTCCATCAATCTTGGTATATTACCCTGTATATTCTTTTCCCCGTTTTTTCTCGAAGACTATACAAGTTGATCAATGTGTTGTGCTCGGTATTCCTGTAATAATATTGTGACCGAACACTCTGTATATAAACAATATAAGATTTCATACAATAAAGGCCACAATAACTCATCCAAGAGAAAATCTGTGATATTTGAGCTACAAATAAGAATATTTCTGGTCAGTAGTACAAATTATCACATTTTTCGAAAAAATCTTTTCCGAAATTCTGGAAAGATAAGAGGAAAATTGCGAAACCATTACGAGGAATATGCTCGAGAAATATGAAAATAAAATCAATTTTCCATCAAATTGGGACTATTGAGAATTTTTCAATATTTTGCAAAGGTTTGTTTGTCACCCTGTATAGCCAGAGGTTACCATTTCCATCAATGATCTATCTGTCATATACCCAATGGATCAATCTTCAGAATAAAGAAAATCGCATCCGAATAAGTGGAATTTTTGCGAAAATATTCAATGTTAAATTTGGAGCAAAAATGTGCATGATGCGGTTCGATTGATCAGCAGTTTAGAATCAGCACAAAATATAAAATTGGTTCTTACTTAACTATGTAATGATGTATCATATTCAACGAAAATACGTTGATTATAACATCTTTGAATGCTTTTTCATAATCAGTTAATTTAACAATATGGTATATATTATAATATTTTGATAGGGCTGTTGTCAACTCAACTTACTGAAACCAAAACAACGGTTTCGCCAACGTATAAAATGCAATAAAATTCAGTTGCCAAACAGAAATCGATAGATGAAAATATGAGATAATAGAATTCGGAATTTTAAAATATATTTTTTCACATACAGTGTGTCGAAAACTGAATATACTAGGTGAAACAGGGTATTGGGCCACCCCTGTAACTTCTGCATTTGTGAACGGATTTCTCTGAAATTTCAATAAATGAAGGGCCCGTTGCCCTGAGAGCGCATACAATTCATCTTATTTATTGAAAACCCGTTTTTTCATTTATAAACTCGATTTTTCGACTATGGGCATTCACAACAATTTCACAACTAGAAACATCACATTTTTTCTACTCCAAAACATTCAATTAGACTGAAGATGGTCTTTCATAAGACCGAAACATGTTCCTTCTGATTGTGTAACGACTCCATTGAAATTTGTGGAGTTGACTCCGAGCATTCCTTCCTTACATTGAATCTAGTTTTTATTTTCAGCTCATCCACGACTAAGCCACGATAGACTGAAAACCATATCGAAACACGTACTCAGAACCTTCGACACATCCTGTATTCATATTCCTCTACCGAATATACCGAATGGAAAAGTATTCAAAATCCACAAGAGGAAAACTTACATGGAAAACATGAAAACCAAGGACTATCTAATAGCAGAATTCAGGTGTCAGAAGGGCTATATGTTTGTGAATAAACAACGACATGGAAATATGTTCTGTAGCAAGAGTAAATGGATTGGAAAGAAACCAGTGTGTGAAAAATCAGTTAAAGGTATTATTTAGTAAGAAACGGAGATACTTATAGCTACTTCGATCACACATATATAGGATACTTGTCTTAATTCAATCACAATCGATTATTTAGGAAAGAAACCAAAAGGCAATCGATTGTGTAAATCACTAAATACTGCTCAAGAAATTTCAATTATTTGATAATCATGAAAACATACAAAAATGGTTTGAATCATACACCGAATGTAACACATATAGAAATCACAAATTAACACCGGAGTACCACAGGGATTAATACTAGGACCATCAGAAGATTCAATCTATTCGCGGACTGTACTATATTACTAAGTCGTGCAAATAATAGGAGTTATCTACATAATGCTATACGTTCAGATATTCATTGAAAAAATTGCACTTGAGATATGGAATATCTTTCTGGGGAGTTTGTATTAATACTCATTCAATGCCAGTTTCCATTTTCTACAAGGTGGGCCAAAAGAAGTAATCCGATGTTATTTGGCTTTCATTTCTTTTCTAAATGAAAAGCTTCGATTCTGTTTTTCGATTATGTTTATTTGAACCTTTAAAATTTTATTGGTCAAGTCGAGAAGATGATATCGGCCAAATGGGTGCCGCCACAACTGATTGCTATACGGGCTCGTTTTATGGCATTTTTCATCACTTCGGCGAGATCTTCGGGCGACAGATTCTGGCACTCGTGTCGAATGTTGTCCTTGAGAGCTTTCAGAGTCTCAGGCATATTCACGTGAACACAAGACTCCAAAAAACCCCGCAAAAAAGTCTGAAACGGTTAAATCGGGCGATCTTGCGGGCCAGAGAAAATCGCCAAAACGAGAGATGAGGCGATCTGGGAACGCCGCCTTCAGAATATCGGTTGTGGCTCGCGCAGTGTGTGCCGTTGCTTTGTCCTGTTGGAACCACATGTCCTCCAGTCCTAATTCGTTCAATTGAGGCATAAAAAACTCGGTAAACATGGCCCTATAGCGCGCACCGTACACTATTGTCGTTTGACCAGCAGCGACCTCGAAAAAAATGGCCCGATGACTCCTCCAGAGTAAACAGCGCACCATGCAGTCACTTTGAGCGGGTGTAATGGCTCCTCGTGCCTCACTCGTGGATTTTCAGTACCCCAGAAGCGATAATTCTGCTCGTTCACGTACCCGCTGAGGTGGAAATGAGCCTTGTCGCTCATTATGATTTTGGTCGAAAAATTGTCCACGAGATTGAGGATGACTTGGCTTGGATTTTTCCGCTTTCTTGGGGAGTGTATCGCTCCATGGCTTGTTCACTTGTATTCTACATCTGTCTAGTTCACAAATGTCGAAACAGATCTGACATTGGCCGCCATTTGCAAAAATAAGAGCATCTTCCAATAGGGTGATTTCTTTTGGCCCACCTATAGTATATGAGATGATATATACCTCAATAAGATCGAATCATTCGTTTCATGCAAGCTTTTATTTGTTAAAAATAAAGTTTTGTCGCTACAATAAGTATGCCATTATCATACTAGAAATATAACCAACTTGTTTGAAAAACGCAAATATCATTCATTTCTGGAGACCCATGAAATAAATCCTCACCGTATTTATATCCTGCAAGAATTTCATGGAGTCTTATTTATAATTCCTTCCTCTGTTAGATAAACTTGATATTGTGACTTTGGTGTTTTTTATTAATACCTATGTGTAAATATTTGAAGGGTGTATTGTTGAGATCAAAATAATACTTTTTCTTCATAGCATAGCTCATAGGAGGTGTATTTTAGGACATATGTTTATATAAGGAAAAAGCCTTATTTTGATCCCAAAAATATGTCCTTGAAATATTCACAGCGACTCTTGGATCACCCTGTATATATACTTCAATATCCATCGAGAGGGCCTAGTCTAAAGTAACATCGACGGTGATACACCCTATATAACTTGGATATAATTTGCCAATAAGACTCTTTGGACACGCATATCAATCAATCAATCAACACTTCAACACGACTCGTTGAATAAATTTCGGAAGGATATAATGATGAGTGAAACTTTTGTTTGTTAAAATTATTTTTTGATCGGATTTCTAATTATTGATGATAAAGGTACGAATAAATTTCTCCGTGATCATTACAAATAATTATTTTTGTTATTGTAGGTTTCATGTTACAGAACGACGCAGCAATTTCAACATTTTCTTTGCCCGTTCGTGTACAAAAATGTCCACCAGATCATAAAATACGATGTAAACATCTTTGTTACATCTTGGATGGTGAACCAACCTGTGGGTGTCCAACTGGTTTTCGAGAAGTAGGAAACGATTGTCTAGGTGGGTTTGATGTAAATAAAAGTTTCATTAGATTGGCAATTTGAATCACTGGAGCTTTATGTTGGTTACATAAAAAGTGCTAGCTGAAGCTTTCAAAACTTTCGTTAGTACTTTGAGAATGTCCCTTCTCATCAGTCCCTATCTTATTGAATATCTGTTTGCTGTTCGCTTTTCAACATAACTTTCAAAAAAATGTATTATCTGATCAAGGTATCTTGAAATGTTTCTGAAAGCAGAGAAGTGACTTAGGTCATCTCAATCATTTAAATAGGGCTTGTTTATTCGAATTTTCTTGGAGTTTTGGGGACCATTAGGCTGGCATTACCAGAAGTTCTTTGAATGGAATAGGTTGATGGAACATGTCTGATACTCAAACCAAGAACTGAAATGGCCTAATTGAAGTCTCATACAAGAACTTTAGTCTCGTAAATTCACAGGTTGTCTTCAGTTCTCCTACATAACTCAAAAAGGTTTGCTTCGATAGAAAAAATTTCCATTAAAAGGAACATATGCTTTATAAATTATAATAATTACAACCAACAGAGTCACGACAAATAACTAATTGCTTACTGCGATGTATATGATCATTATTGTAATGATTATAATTATTACTGTGATGTATTGAAATTCAATAATATCTTTCGATCTTATATACATCAAGTATAGGAATAAGGTACACATATGAGTACACATCAACTTAGTATATTCGACATGGAGATAATTATGCCCCTAATAATCCAGTGGAGTTTGAAATGCCAAGATTATTCATAAATTCGTTTTTTCATTATCTTTCTTTCTTATATAAGCTCTTTCCAAATTCTTGTTCTTCTCAAAGTCCAACCGAGCTATAACTCCAGTCCTTTTTTAAAATGCTTCTATACCCTTTCGAGATAGAATCATTCGATGATGAACAAGTACCTAGAAGCCAACAAGTTTTACTTTGATACATCACGTGATCACGTATGCATTCGAGGCGACCTACGTTGAATCACGTGGTGTCTCAAAGTTAAGGCAATAATGAACTCAATATAGGTATTTAAATTGAGTTCATTGAGTTAAGGTGGTTGGTCTCTAGTCTCTACCACTGACGACGTTTTATAGAGAACCTGCTGATGTTCTCGTATCCCTAAGAAATGAGGGGTTCAAAGCTGAATACCATCCATCCATAATATTGTTAAAAGCTTATATTTTTCGGAGCTGTAATGAACCAAGTCCGTACGTGTTTTAAGCTGTAGATGAAGCAGATGTGTTTGTGGCGGGAATTATTTCGCGAAACTTTCAGAGCATGAGTGAACCAATTCCAAGATTCATTGGTTTGTGATGGATGAGATAGGGCATCAAGCCATTATAGAACATTGTATTGCATGGGACTAAAGTGATTCATTCAATCAAGCGAGTGGTTCATTTCCAAGAAGCTATGCATCTTCTGGAAGACTATTAATCAATGAGTTAACCTTCAAATGTTAGAATTCAATTCGACAAGCATCTGTTAGTTAATCTCAATTTTAATTTGAAATAGGTAATGAAGTAAGTTGGGAACGGTTCAATTTAGTCCCGATAGGAATGAAACAAGCCAATGCAATTCTAATAGGGATCAAATATGGACCACTGCAAAGTATTTTCACACCATCGGTAAAGTTAAAACTAAAATAATAACTCATCAGTTATTGGATTTGATTTAAAATGCCAGTTTGCTTTGAGATACACGGTTCACTATAGACCCTAGGGATCATTCTAGTCTCTATTTCAGGTATTAACCCAGCAAACATGATTTTTGCGGCCCTCTAAAGGTACAATGAAACTTGCCGGCGAGCGGTAACAGCGGTCCTCTATTGTACAACTAAATTGGGCCGGCTAGCCCGTGTCCCGGCGGCCGACAGCCGACCGCCTCACTAGAGCCATCAGTATGCCGCTTATTACATTGCAGGGCTTCTGGTGGGCAGAAGCAAGTACTCAAATGTACCGCATTCATGGCATATCTTCGGCCCGATTGAGACTTTTCAGAGACTGCCATTAATTGGCCGCTTCAGAATTTTTATTCCCCCGATAGAGGAGTTTTTCAGGGCCGTTGGTTAACGGGGTTGAATGAATTCAATATTCATGGTTTTCTGTTTTTTGATGTCCTATTTTTCAACTAGGTTTGTCAAAAAATATACAGGGTAATGCATATATCCCAGTGAAAATAAGTTTTTTGAAAGGTAGGTATCCCAGTTTATATCACCACTTGGAAAGCAAAGTATCTCATTTTCACTCAGATCTTCATCACTCTCTTTATTTTCAAACTTGTTGAAAAATGTGGAACTTCAAAAAACAGAATTGAGGTCTCCCAGTTTTTTGTGAATCCTCTCTGGGTATAACAGAAATGTGGAATTCACTCCTTACCTGAAGTTGTTGAATAATTACATTAAAATCTATGAGGTAGCATCCTGATATCACAGTTATTTCCAGGAAACTAGCAGTATAAATACCCCATACAAAAACAAGAACTGAAAATATCCATGTGTGTATATTATTGCCATGATCTCAAACAATACATATCACAACTATGGAAACATCAAACATCTTAATTTTTGTTCTACATATCACTCTGTATACTCATCATGAAAAGGTACCTACAATTTACAATAATAGGTATTTGAGTTTCATCATGCAGGATAGATATTTGTTTCTCCACTTGTTTCAAAAAGTTGCTAACTCTAGGTCAAAAATTACATCACCTATGTACCTACCTAATAACTTGAAAGTTATGTATTTAGGTAATCAGTTATTATATTGATCAAGTTATTGTCAACAATAGAGTTCAATCCACAAGAAAACAATTCCCAGATATGGAGAACCTCACTCTTTATCATATTGATATGAGTGTTGCCTGGAAGTGAGATATCATATACCATGAAGAAATTCATATCATAGTCTGGACCATTGTGTGATTTCTTCATTGATATCTGTGATTGATGGGCTTCTGGTTGTTGATTTTGTAGCTGAAAGATTGAATGATTTCATTCTCTACTAATCCAAAACATGCAACATTATACATACCTACAGTACTTCTTGAAATATAACTGTTTCTTCAAGTAGGTACTCTTTGATTTTCGTTTTGAAAATAGATTTATGATTCAAATGTAATGAAAGCTCATGCATCTTCAAAGTCCTCATATTATTATATTATTAGATTCTTGTGTATCCGCTAAACATGTCCAAACTATTATTGCATCTGTTTGTCCAATGGTGTTTGTAAAATTATTATCTAAAATAGGGGAATTATTTAGCTGTGCAAGTTTGTATATATGTTTGTTCCTCACTCACTCTGTAATATCCTTCCATTTCGTATAAAAATCCACTAGAAAACCAAACACGAACTGAACACAGTACTAAAATCTCTGTTGAGACTGTTGAGAGTGTTGAAACAACATAAACAAAGAAATTAATATACGCCATACTGAATCATTGTTACCACTGCAAAATGATCGAAATAAAAACTCACGCGAGCGAGGGATGCCAACGTTGAGTGAGTGATGACGGCACACTCCGTTGAAATTTTGATGGCCCTTGGACTTGGATACATACAGCGGAAGACTAGCGGCTGGGAAACAGAGGCCCATCATAAGTATGTGTACATTCTGCCTCCGTCATATAATCCTTCGAAATTATATGGAGGGCCTTTCGAGGCATGCCGGCATCGACATTTGCCCGCCGTTCTCGCCATGGGCCCGGCTTTCTACCGCCTTTCGATGTTTGCTGGGAAGGAACATACTTTAGTACCGAAAGTGCAAAAAAAATCATCAAGTCAGTCTCATTTCAAAAATGAAGTTTATTTGTCTCAGGTGGAGATTTTCTCTTCTTTATTCATAGAATCTTCACTAGAAAAGTGAGCCAAGTCCAATATGAGAGAGAAAAAACATTTATGAAGCTGGTACTATTCAAATTTTTGATTCGATGATGGCACTAACATTTAAGTTATGATCGACCTGAAAGTCCCTCATACAAAAAAATCAGATTGAATGAGATAGGAATCAACCACTGAAGAGCAACTTCAAATCTCTACATCTCAAATCTACCGAAAATGGACTTGGTTCACATATTCATCTTTGAACCCCTCAAATAATCCCATCATCTTTATCCACTTTCCGTGAAATTCAGTTCATTTCGTCTTGCCGTTATCATTCCCGCAGACATCAACGAATGCGAATCCGACAACGCTGGCTGCCACCACGGCTGCACCAACACCCTAGGATCCTACAGCTGCTCCTGCCCCGAAGGTTATCGCCTATCCTTCGACTCCAAGGCCTGCGAGGACGTCAACGAGTGCCACCTGAGGAACGGCCACGGGCCGTGCCAGGACACGTGCCGGAACACCGTCGGATCGTACGAGTGCGGCTGCGCGACCTTGAACGGGACGCGACTGGCGGGAGACAGGCACACCTGCGCGGACATCGACGAGTGCGTCGAAGGTGGCGCTGGATGCTCGCACGCGTGCGTCAACACGATGGGCAGGGCCTACTGCGTGTGTCCGGAAGGGATGCGGATCGGGGAGGACTTGAAGACCTGCGAAGGTGAGTTCTGGATCCCTCTTATGTTCGTGGCTGGAGGCTGAAAGCTCTAGGAAAACCTTTCCTACAAACATTTGCGGTGATATTGATCATAGATATTGTGGACTTTACCTTATATGGTCAGTGTTCGGCTTTTTTAAAAGAAAATAGAGGTCCGCGTTTTGGTTGAATTAGTCAACCTGGTTGTTGCTTCTAGTTTTCTCCTCTCACGTTTCATTCCCTCTCATTTCCACCTATTTTTTATGTACTGGTTCCCACGAAAAGAGATATCCTGTAATGTTCAGAGAATATCGTGAGAACCAAGGGAAATAAGGTAGGAATTAGTGTTCTTCTGAAGACAGAATAATCTTATAGGCACCTACTACCCATATCAAGGTATCAGGGATATGTTTATTTTTGATGATTCCTTGTGTTCTTCAACTATCTATCCGAACATTTCAGAAATTATTCTGGAATAGCTGTCTGAGAAAGATCAGGTGGTTCAGCCCAAAATGGTACTGAAATGTAGTCACCAATTCATCAAGGTCTTCCGCGAACAACTTGTGATATGTTCTTCATCGATATATATTGAATTCAAGTGTTACGTTTATATGTCTAGGTATCATACTGACCTGTATGTCCTTCACCTTATTTAAATGTTTTTCATCAATGAAAGAGAATGATGCGAACAGAACGAAGTCATGTCGAATTCTTCAGAAACTCATATTCCTCTTTATCTCATACTCGTTTCATTATTTTGATGCCTTTTCTAAGTGATAATATGGTCTCATGAAGGAATATACACAACCAACAAAAAGTTGCACCACCCAGTATGATTAATATCAGAATTCCCACTATTTCCACATTTCAATTGATATCTTCTATAGATACCTATATCATTTCTATGTATTTTCCGACAAAAAAAGATTCAATCGAACCGTTTCCATATAAATACTATCTGAAGTATATGTAGGTGGTGCAATTTATTTTTGCTGTGTTATATGACACACGCCTAACAAATATAAACAATAATGCATACAATACATATATGTCCTACATTATATTCGAGATTTTATTTTCAGATATCAACGAATGTGAAGATCCTAAAATCAAGGCCCAATGTCCTTCCGGCTGCCTAAATTTCATTGGATCCTATTATTGTCCCACTGTCTCCGACGAATATCTTTTGGCAGACGAACCAAGTAAAGAAAGCAATCGAGTGGATGAGAACGATGACGATGAATATGAAGACTACGAAGAAGGAGATTATGATGACGATTACGATGAAGGGAAATCTGAAGGAGAAAAGAATAGTACCAAGTCCTTGGATCCCGTATTAGAGAAAGAATCTATGATATCCGTAATAGAGAATGAGAATAACAATGACAAAACCATAACAGGAAATAGGGATAAAACTAAAACTGAATCAGCTAAAAACAATACATCAATTGATGTTATTGAACAAAGAATACAAGTAACTGAATCTGATAAATCAGTTGAATCTGATAAATCAGTTGAATCTGGAAATTATCGAAGGACTGATTCAAAAGAGAATGCTGAAGATTCTGACTCCTATGACGACGAAGATTATGAAGGAAGCGATTATGAGGACGAGTATGATGAAGATGGAAAATCGAATATTTCTGAAGAAACTACCACTCAACGAAGTATTCCAACTGCGTCCACTCAGTCTATTGCAAGCACGATCACTACTAGAACTCCATCAAGTACAAATAAGCTAGGTTTAGATGTATCTAAAGAAATTGGTAACGATATTCCTAACAAAATTGATGACAAGGTAGACTCAGAAAAAAGTAGCGAATCTACAAGTTCAATACCATTTACAATGAATACTATCACGACTACTGCAATCAATTCTGTTGAAGGTGTAAGTATTAGCAATATATTGGATACGATTCAGAATAGAATCTACTTGAAAGAAAAAACTGATGAAACTGATGAGAGAAACACAAAAAATATCGAAGAAGACGAAGACAATTATGATGATGATTACGATGGAGAAAATGCTACTAATATTGGTAGAACCAATCTTCTTGAGAATGTAATAGGAAATAATGTGAGCGCGTATATGAACGAAACAAATTACGAAATGAAGAATAAATCTGATACAGGAAATGAAAATACTCTCTATGATGAAACTGAAGAGCTGACTAACCCGAAATTAGAAGCATCATCAACATATTCGACAACCACCAGTCTAGATGTATTGGAAATTAATAACTCAGACGACTCCAACGAGAAAAAAAATGACACTTTCAATTATCATGGGAAAGAAAATAGGTACATCACGGGAAAATCTATAGTACAAGATATTATTGAAACTAATGATATATTTGAGACCGACCATAACCAAGCGAATAAAACTGATGATGTGGTTGAAAAACAATCTGAAATAGATGAGGAATACGATGAAGATGATTATGAAGATTATGATGAAACAACTACTGCCGAAGCATCTGTGAAATATAGCAAAATCAATACCATAATGGAGATAACAACACCAACTACTGTAACTCCTGGTATTATATCGAAAATTTCAACAGAATCTAGTGACGGATTGGACACTGATAGCATCAACCTTAACAGGCGTGTTTATGAGGAAGAAAAAGAAGGCATTACCCCAGCTAACACCCTAGTGGACGTGATTGACAAAGGGGAGGTGGATGAATATACAACTGAACAAATAGATAATCGTGCCCCTGAAAATGAACATAACAACCAGAACTATGACGAAGATATTATAATAACAGTGAAACCATTGAAAGAAAAAGATTTGGAGGATATCACCACAACTGACAGAGTATCATCAAAAACTTCGACTATACGATCACTTGGGAATGAAATCGACAATCACATTATATCTACTGAAGAGAATCTGAAAGAATCTGGTGCATCAACAGATAGAAGTAGCACCGATGAAAATTCCCCTGGAAGAAGAAAACCTTCCGATGATAATTATGACTACGATGACGATGATGAATACGAAGAATACGAGGATTCAAAGACAGAAGAAAGCGAAATAGTTAACAAGGAAATTAAAAAATGTGAAGAGGGATATAAACTCGATGAGCAGGATGAATGCACAGGTAAGATACTTAGAAAAGGCATTACTCAACAGTGAGGGATTATGATCCAAGGTATTTATTCATCTCATTTCGTTACAGATATCGATGAATGCAACCCAGACACCAACCCATGTTCAGATACTTGTCAAAATACTCCTGGTAGCTACATCTGCAGCTGTCCCAGTGGCTTCAGACTATCACCAGCAGATTCCCACATATGCCAAGATATCGACGAGTGCCAGGACAATCCTTGTTCTCATACTTGCATCAACTCGGAAGGTTCCTATAAGTGTGATTGTCCCAAAGGGCTCACCCTACAGAACACAACTTCTTGCGTTAACCTGACGTGCTCTCATGGCGAGACCAAGATAAACGGCAAAATCCAGTGCACTTGCCCTTCTGGATACGTCTTGGGATTCGACAACAGGACCTGCGAGGACGTCAACGAATGTCTTCTCATCAACGACTGTGCGCACAGTTGTCACAATACCGACGGTTCTTACGTATGCAGTTGCAGACAAGGTTACGTTCTGGAAAATGAGAGGTTATGTATAGATATTGATGAATGCCAGGGGAATCATGGTTGCCCACACGATTGCGTTAACGCGCCAGGCAGTTTCAAATGTGCTTGTCGTGAAGGTTACGAATTTGTCAATGCAACAAATAGTTGTGTGGATATTGATGAATGCGACGTGACAAGAGATCTGGACGAATGTAATCAAATTTGTATAAATTATGAAGGAGGGTATGAGTGTGAGTGTAGAACTGGATACGAATTAGGGTCAGATGATGCTACTTGCGAAGATATCAAAGAATGTGCCGTCAATAATGGTAATTGCAGTCAAATTTGTGAAGATCTCCCAGGATCATATGCATGCAAATGCATCGAAAATTATGCATTGAACGAAGATAGAAGAACTTGTAGGATTGTGGACCCTTGCTTGGTAGAAAATGGAGGTTGCTCTCATCATTGTTTCAATATCAATGGTTCAATCAGGTGTAGCTGTCCAGAAGGATATGAACTGACCTTGGACCAAAAAACTTGTACCCAGATCAATCCTTGTACCATAAGAAATGGTGGTTGCTCCCACTTCTGTGAGTTTGTTGATGGTCATGCGAACTGCATGTGTCCAGAACTTTATACCCTTCAAAATAAAACACATTGTGCTGAAGTTAACCCATGTTGGGAAAATAACGGGGGCTGCTCACATATTTGTCGCTTCGAAGACCACAAACAATCTTGTTTATGTCCATTAACCCATGAACTTCAAAACAGGACTCACTGCCTGGAGAAGAATCCATGTTTGACTGAGAATGGTGGTTGTTCGGATACCTGTAACTTCTCTAAAGGAATTCTGAGCTGCAGCTGCCCAAAAGATTATTATCTAGAGGGAAAGACTTGCTACAAGAGTGATCCTTGTTTGATTGGAAACGGAGGATGTTCTCATGATTGTTTCTCGGATGAAGATGGGAATGTCAAGTGCTTGTGTCCACAAAACTTTGTTCTTCAGAAAAATCAGAAAATTTGCATTCCTCAAGATCTCTGTCTATTGAATAATGGCAATTGTTCTCATTCATGTGACTCTAGCAATAATCAAGTCACTTGTTCTTGTCCAGAAGGTTTTCAGCTGCAAAATAAAACTCAGTGTGTTCAATCCAATCCATGTTCAACAAATAACGGGGGTTGTTCAGATATTTGTGAAAATTTCTTTGGTACAGTGAAATGTGCTTGTCCAGACAATTATGCATTGGAGGATAACAACAACTGTGTCATAATAGACAACTGTTTGGAAGATAACGGAGGGTGCTCCCACTTCTGCAAAACAGTTGATAAACAAATACAATGTTCATGTCCTGACCGTTACAACCTCGTGAACCAAACAAAATGCATACCACTCAATCCCTGCTTCATAAACAATGGTGGTTGTTCTCATGAATGTTCCGCAGAAGGTAACAAAGTAACTTGCTCGTGTCCAGAAGGTCATGAACTAGAAGGTAAAAAATGCATCTTGATCAACCCCTGCGACCACAAAAACGGTGGATGTTCCCATGTTTGTACCAGCATCAATGGCTTGATGGCTTGTAAGTGTCCTCCTGGGTTCGAACTCATCAACAAGACATGCTTCAAGAAGAATCCCTGTTCGATTAATAATGGAGGATGTTCGCACGGTTGTACCAATGTTAGAGGCCAAGCAAAATGCTCCTGTCCGCCGGGATACAAACTGTTCGCAAAAATGTGCCTGGACGATGATCCTTGTAAGAAGAACAACGGTGGGTGTTCCCATATCTGCCAGAATCAGCAAGGCAAGAGAGAATGTTCTTGTCCTCCCGGGTATCTTCTCAGGCCGAATAGAAGAGTTTGCAAGGAAGTGAATGAGTGTAGGGTAAACAGAGGAGGCTGTTCACATGGATGCAAAAATTTACCAGGGTCTTACCAATGTACTTGTCCCCATGGTCTAAAACTGGACCAAGTCAACAACAAAACCTGTGTTGACATTGATGAATGCCGAATTGATAATGGAAAGTGTGAGATGATATGTAGGAATTTCAAAGGAGGGCATAAATGTGATTGTCCTGAAGGATACACTTTACAGGTGAGATTTTCAAGCATTGATACAGCGTATCGAATGATTTTTTGAATTGATTTCAGAAAGATAAACGTTCATGTAGACTGGGAGTTGTGACGCAATGCAAAGTTCCTCTGGCTCCCAAGCATGGAGTCATGAGGTGTTCTGATCAAATTATGGAACATGGTACCTTGGTACCAAGTGGAACAAGATGCAATTTTTGGTGTAATGAGGGTTACAAGCTCAAAGGAAGATCTCCACGACACTGTAGCAGTACAGGAGAATGGGAAAGTGATGAACCCAAATGTATTGGTATGTTTCAATTATTTCAATTTCTTCTTATCGTTAACCATTCAGTCACTCAGTAAAATATTGGGTGTAGAACAGTCACTATAGCCTGTTGAATATTGCTAATATTGCAGGAGGAATTCTGAAGGGAAATTAAAGTATTTTTTAATTAAAAACTATGAGGCCAGGTAGCCATGTGGTAGAAGCGTCAGTATTCTATCCACGTTGGATTGCTTGTTCGTGGGTTTGATTCCCACGACTGCAGACATTTTTATGATGACCTGAGAATGTGTTCACACGTCAAAAAGGAAGGCCCCCGTATTTGCTTGCTCGCACAAGTCTTTTGAAGACTTCTGAGGTTACTCGTAAGGGGGCAAGTGGATGACGGAAAGAGCAATTGAATACACGAAGGTCAAAGACATATCCACGAATGTTCATGAATGAACGAAATTGGTAGATCACGAGAGAAAAACGACTCCTTTCCTGGCTATATGCCACGCAGAACATTGAAATACATCCTCCCGAAATCTATGCAATAATTCGTATAGACGAATAAAATCACAAGTGTTTTCTTCCTGGACGCCGAGTTGCGCCTGAGTGGTTAAGGAATTTTGTATTGTTGAAAATAAGGATATTTAGGACTAACGAAATAATATATTGTTTATTAAAAACCTTCTTGTTTTCATAAATAATATGGAAAAAACACTCGTAGGGAATATTTTGTGCCTAACTCTTGCGGAAAATGCCTTTTCCGCCCTTGACGACTTCAGACGACTTGCTCGAACTCCACTCCGCGTCGTTCGTGGAACTGCCATCGCGTGTGGAAAAGTACCTACTACTTTCCGCACTTGTTAGGTAAATGACTATTCAATTCTATGTGAACAAATGAGAAAAGTGAGGCTGTTTTACCTCCAAGGTATGCCATCTGTCAAAGGTGCAGGCGACATACACTGCTTCATCATGACTTAGAAATGACTTAAACAAATATTCCAAAACTCGCTCGATTGGAAACGTTGAATACTTTCATATCATGTGTTTTATTTTCAGTCGCAACTTGCCCAAAATTGCCTCCAATCAAGAATGGATGGTACTTGCCTGGAGTTTGTAATTCAGGAAGGACATATTCTGGAGAATCCTGCGAGATTTATTGCAGGAAAGGATTCAAACCTAGACAAGATATTGAAAAATACGTTTGTGATGCCAATATGCAGTGGATGCCTAACGTCAGAATAGAAAACCTACAAGATGCTTGCATCAGTGGTAATGAACAACTTCAATATTTTCCAGTTGGAATATTATCTTTTTATATTCGCAGGTTTACCCAATATCCATCTCAAGTGTCCCAGGAATGGACACATTGAATTCATATTACCAGAAGGTCAACGACATATGCTGGTGAAGATTCCAAGGCCAGAAACCAGTGTTGATTGGACGTAAGGAGAGATTCTCACATTATCCACTTTACCTAGGTACTAACAGTTCATTTCTAGGTATGTGACATCTCAGCCATCTTGGGGTACCCGATTGGAAACTACTTTACCGGCAGGACGAACAGAGGTTCGTTTCACAGCTGTATCACCAAATGACTTCAATACCACTGCCTCCTGTCATTTGGTCATCAACGTATTGGACAAAGAATTACCCAAAGTGATGGACTGTCCCAGTAATATCGAGAGGAGTTTATCTCGAGGTCAAAATATGCAAGTCATCCATTGGAGAGAACCAATATTTAGTGACAACGTAGGAGTTGCTACAATATACAAATCAAGGGTAAATTTTAATGGATAAAAATGCAGGAGCGTAAATGATTTGGAAATTTCTTTAGGATCCAGGTGGTGAATTTGGATTGGGACTACATCATATCACTTACGTGGGAAGTGATGAAGCTGGAAATAGGGCTTTCTGTCACTTTAGCATCAATATTCGAGGTAAGAACCTTCAGTGAAGAATTTTTGAGACAAACATCGTATTTGATCGATTCAACATTCATTGAAATCTCTTTAGACGATCTGGAATTGGAAGAATCTAATTCTGTTCAACAATATTCTTCAACATATACAAACCATAACTCAGCTGGAAAATACAGAGCTGTCTTGATTTGTCCAAGTGGAGTACAGTACATGTCAAATCCTCCTGATAGTTACAATGTGAGTACTGACATTATAATACCGATTTTCACACAATCAAAGTTCTATTGATTCAATAAGAGTAGGGTGAAAGATGATATCTTTTGTCATCTGGCCTATATAGGTCGCGTGCACGATGACCCTGGAGTTAAAACATTGAAACTCAACCACAATTTTTTGCAAAACATTGAAACACAACCTTCCTTTTTCGATTTGTTTTCAGAGGTACAGTTTTTCACAATATTTTGGCATACGAATCGTGTTTTTTGCGGTATTCATTAATTCAAGCTTGTCTTCTCATTGTGCTGTTGTACAATGCACAAAAAATGCAGCAAGAGACAAAGGAGTATGATTTTCCAGGTAAATAGTAAACTCACATAGTGTTCATTACGAAATTTTAAAATTCTTTCTACCACTTCTGCAATAGAAGTTGATACTGCTAATAGATTGAGAATGTCTACAACACACACGATCATATTTCTTCAGCATGTCAGACCAATCCTCCCGTTTGATTGCATGAATCCAATTTTCTTGCATTATTTTAGAAAGTTCACGAGTATTTCTATTAACTATTGCAGAAGGAATTCTGATGAGAAATTAGAGAAATCACCAGATTTCAAAATGAAAACCACATATGAGTGACTATAGTAGGTACTTACTTTTAAATCGTGATGTACCAACCGGACCCCTTCGTCTCCCGCTGCATTTTTTGTGCATTATTGTACAACAGCACACGAAAATCAAGACTCTTGGTTTCTCAATAATATCGTTGTGACCTTTTTTTTAGAATATGCTAACAAGTGAAGCTGGTTGTTACTGGAGGCATGTCAAAGTAACTAGACCGATGCAGCCACAAAGTTTCAAAGTTCCTAAAGTTTATACTGAAAGTAGACTTCCTTCAAATATGAAGAGTAATAGAAGAGTATTTTTCAAATGGAATAGATAGATTGAAAATTATATTTGGAGTAGTTATTTTTATCGCATTTTAAATTGATGAAGCCCTAAACTGCCATAAAATAAGTGTTTTCGACATTTTATAAATGTTACCTATTCGATAATTTGGAGGATTTTGTATTTTGTTTTATACTATTAATAAATAATATAAAAATCAAGTTGAGTGTTGCGTTTATTTTTATCCATTAAAATGTAGCAAACATATAAACTTCATGCTTTGACACCCTGTGTATGTATTTGTAAACGTTTATCCTCTAATTTGAAACAGGAATATCTATTTATTTTTGGTTATACTTCGATTTGAATTTATATTATATGAAAATATCTTCATTCCATCTATACTCGAATAATCCGAGTAGCTAGTCGAAAATAGGCCAAAGAATGTACAGGACTAAAGAATTAACACTTAAAATAGAACAAACTTAAGATCAACTGCATAAGCCCCATTTCTATTAATGCCACGAAATATCTCCAGCTTAGAGAATCCAATAATGAATCATTCGAAATGAATGCATTATAAAATCAACTATACCTATAGGATTTAAATATCGTTGATTGACATTCTCCACTTGTTACAACAGGATGATGGGTAAAGAAAAATAAGATTTTGTTATAAATGTCCTAATTATTTCTTTTCGATCCATAAACTATATAAGATTGTCGAATGATCAGCCTGTGGTGTGCATGTCCGTGAAGTATGGAAATGATACATCTTCTTCGGAATTATATACAGGGTGTTTCCTAATATGTGGGACGCTCTTCGAGAGGAGATAGGGCGACAATAAAAAATAATAGAATAAAAAAGTTCCCATAAACGAAAGTCATAGTCTTCGTTTGCGAGATACAGGGTGTTATATATGGCATATTGAAATTGTTTAATTATAATCTAGCCGGCACCGTGCCAAATAGACTATGATTATTTTTCAGTGTCAATTCAAAAATTCGAATTTAAGGAAGGCGAAATAGCGCAGTGGTTGAGGCGCTAGGCTTGTAATCAGAACACCGGAAGGTTGCTGGGTTCGAATCCCTGGAAGAGCAAATAATTTCTATGTATAAAACGAGTTATGAATTATAATTTTGCAGCCTTGGCCGGAGATGATTACGCACGATTCGCTGTTGCGTTCCAATTAACAGTGCTCCTCCTAAGGTGGCGTATGGAGTTAGTAACAAAACCTACGAATAACACTGATGAGCTGAAGGACTTCTCGTAAGGCCGATGGCCAGTTGGTATGTACATACATATACCAACCAAGTACATATACTACTACTACTAATGTTAATTCATTGCATTTGAACGAGGAAAGTGAGTAAGTATATGTACTTCGTTGGTATGTATGAATGTAAATACCGACTGGCCATCCACCTTACGAGAGGTCCTTCAGCTCATGTGTGTTCTGTGTAGGCTTTGTAACTAACTCCATACGCCATCTTAGGAGCAGCACTGTTAATTGGAACGCAACAACGAATCGTGCGGAATCATCTCCGGCCGGGGCTACGAAAATTAGAATTTGGAACCCGTTTTATAAATTTAAATTCTCTGCTCTGCCAGGAATCGAACCCAGCAACTTTTCGACGTTTTAATTGCTCGTCGAGCGCTCAACCACTGCGCTATTTTGCTATTTTGCATCTAAATATTATCATGAGTCATCAAATTCGGCCATAAGAAAATAGACGAGTCGTCTGAACACAAAGGTAGTCAATCGGAAAATCGGATGTTTTTCCTTGTTCGTCATTATATAGTACCCTGGCAACCAGATACGAATGATCACGTCACTGAGACGTCCCTAATTGGTGATTTTTGGTCAAAGAAGTCACACACCAATTTATGACGTCACTATGACGTACTTTCTATGACGAGATAATCACGTCATCATCTCGACGTCGAGTGAATGTCACTTAGATGGGTTAGATAAGACGTCAGTTCCATGACATTACAGGGACGTCCTGTCGACGCCTATGTTTCCCAGACCACATCTAAACCATGTATACTCACATTACCATGTGAAACCGTTAGGTTTGTGACGAACCTATATATACAGGATGGGCATTTTCACTGTCGAAGAGTTTTCAGAAAAAAATGTTTTCATAGAAACATGTACGATTTGGTAATTTTATATACAGATCAAAATGCAAGTTTCATTGGAATTATATATACCCAAATAGTTAGAGAACACTTTTTTTTTTTAAATTTGACACCTTGTATATCTCGGAAACCAATCAAGCTATATATGTATATACAGTATGATGCAAATGTATGGAATACATTCATTTCAAAACAAGACGACTTTCGAAAAAAAACCAAAAACTAGAGTTTAGAACTCTTTTTCGACGTATTTTTCTTAACTAGACGACCCTTCGATGTTCAATTCTCAGTAGCAGACCACTGCAAGATTCAATCACATGATAATCCATTTTAATTTCAATCTTCTTATGCAACATTTTGACTGTTGAATAGACGATCGGTAGACCTTTCAATCAAGGTGTCACATGACCCCTATTTGTATTTGAAAAAATCGTCCATTACGTCTTTACTCCAACACCGGTGACGTAACATCTCTCATATGAATATCATGAGATGAGGCTTCAGAAATTAAAACTCACGTGTTTTTGGAATTTTTTCAAATGTCGCCCATTTCTGAAATAATGAATTTATTCCATTATGAATGATGATATAGATGTACCTATATTGAAACCGTCACATTTATGACGGTGCAGTGACGTATCTAAGACGTCTAAAAATCACGTCAGTGTGACGTACCAATATGATAAGCTTCGTCATTCAGAAAATATTCCAATAATTTGCTATTCATATTTTTGTTGAGTGACAAATAATGCATTAATATACGTTGCTCAAGAAAGTGAAGCTAAATTCGCCATCCTTTTCATTGCTATCGAACTATTCTTGGTTTGCTTACATCTCGCCGACACAAACTACAAAAATCTTGATACAAATACGAGTAACTGATTTCATTCTGATGGAGATGCGTACTGAAGGATAGCGATGCTGAAAAGACGATTGAATGGACATGACACCGGAGGACCACCAAGAAGATTCAACAATGCATAATCAATATTATTATTATAATATGTCCTTAGAGATCAGCGGTGATTATCACGCCATGTTCGAGGTAACTTTTTTACGTGTCACCACCAAATTTGAACGTCATCTTGACGTCATTTCGACGTCAGTTCGATGTTACAGTTTGGTGAGTGAGTGAGTCAATAAACGTGAGTAATATGACGTCATTGAGCTGTCACTCATCACGTCATACAACGTCAACTCCTCACGTCACCTTGGCCATTCAACTTACGCAAAAAGACGTCACTGGAACGTCATCTGGTTGCCTGGGATAAGTATCTGTTATGATGATGATCATTATTAATGAAATATTCTTATTCGAGAGTTAACCGCACGTTAATTCCGTAAACACACATCATTTCATTAAATGTGTATAGTAGCTCAGTTGGAATATAAGTTCGATTTGTAACCAAGGATAGCGTAGGACCGGGGTTGAAATTCCGTGGCGGTTGTCTTTTTTTTGTAATGAAGGCCGACCAAAATTTCTCACAAAAATCTTCAGAAGTATTCGGAATTTTTCAATTTTCAAAACAGAATTTCGCTAGGCATAAAATTGCGCACCTTTGCCATAATTTAATCGACCCTGTATCTCTCACGGTTGACGAGATCTCAATGATTCCAGCCCCGATTGTACATAACATTTTGTATGTTACGCAATAAAAGTGCAGTGTTAATTAACTAAAGCTGGTATCTTCTTTCAAGGCATTTTCCATCCTTTTCTCCTACCCATTGCCCATTCAATCCACACATAACGTGGTATTTCCTCGAAATTTTATACTTCTTAGGGCAAATAAGCTCGCACACTGTTCCAGGACTATTTATGATTCGTTTTCTTCCTTTCCTTGTGAACGACTGGAAAGCTCTGTTCCTCGAACACCTGATGAACCCTCTGGAAGGAGGAAACAGGGGTTTGCATACGATATTCACTGACGCCTGATCGTTTTGCATGCCGAGGCAATGATAGGAGCCAATGGTATTGAGGCAACCGTTCTCGCAAGTCTTCTTGATGACGTCGTCTTCACATTCATCAATATCTGCAAGAAATACATTCTGATATTAGTGAATTATTCATTGGCATTATATGGTATGCTTTGGAGGGAATTCGAATAAAGTAAAGAAATGGTTCTATGGTTCTTGTATAATGAAAGAATACAATGGAATAGGAATCTTATGTTTTTTTAACAATTGAAATCATTGAGGAAGTTACAATCGAATGGTTTTAGAAAGGCATACGGTCAAAATCCAATTGTTGGTGAGGATTCTATACGAGATGTATCAGATGAAAATGAAGGCAAAAACAGCACAACTCAAGCTGCACAAAACCCATAGACTCGCTGGGATCACACCTGCAGCAATGGAAGCTATGCTTGATTTACTACTCTTGCATATTTTTATCAAGAGGATTGATAATTTGCAACCAAACCATCGGACTTAATGCCAGCCTTTGAAGTGGTTATAAAAAGTCGCCCTAGGTACGGTTCCGCTAAGTCTCAGCTGGACAGAAGGTCCTTCTTTTGGTACACCGATGGTTCAAAAATGGAAGAAGGGATAGGCGCTGGTGTATAAGGACCTGGATGTAGGATATTTGAAGCCGTAGGTCACCCCCCCCCCACTATCTTCCAAGCTGAAATACATGCCATCAACTTATGCGCCCAAAGGTGCCTGAGCAAAGGTCTGAGGAGTGCCAACATATACAGGGTGTTTCATGAGAAGACTCACATAGCCAAATGGTTAATAGGGGAAATCAAGAAGAGTTGATGCATATTTATAAAAACATTTTTTGCCCCTCCATAACGAAGATACAGGGTATTATGTGAAATTGCTTTATAACTTTGATGGTCGATATTACAGAAATGATTCGTCGTAATCTCCTGAAATTCGGCAGCGACGTTTCTCTACTAGAACTGTTCAAGATAACATATCATGAAAAAAAATATCCGGGTCCGTACTTGGGAAAATTTCATGTTTCATTGTTATGTCGAAAAAGTTCACTTTGTGACCACTTTTCTCGAAAACTTCCATCAGATTCAGAAAGATCAGACAAAATGCTATAAGAACTGCTCTTCAATTTACACGGCACACTTTGACCGGTTCAATAAAAAAATATGGAACAAAATCGTTCGAATGAATTTTGAATTTCGACCTGGCTGATAACTGTCAACTTTCATCTGGTATCATGTGAATTGATTTACATTACATTTCTGTTAAATAGTAATTGACAGAAAGATAGACGAAAAGAAAAAACACGATATTTTTTATCGAAATTCCAGATAATTATTATTATTCCTGAATTTGTTTCATGGGTGTCGCTTGAAGTGAGATATCTAGTAGGTCCTGTTCATTTCTGTGACGAGACGTGACGCTTGTTGATAATCCGAACTGATAGGCTAGTACTAGGCTAGTACTAGGTAGGTACCAACTGATGACAATACGACATGAGGATTCATGTGCCCATATTATGATGATTTATCAAATTAGTTATGCCATCACGCATAAACTCATTTCCATTTTTTTATTGATACACTTCTGCAAGTGATATAAGGATGCATTTGCTATTTATTCAAAATTCCTAGTGTTCATCCTCGTGAAGGTTTCACTGCAACGTATTCTTGGGTCTGGAAATATTCTATGGTATTAAACATAGCATGGCATTTGGAATTTCGTCTTGTTCAGCATTTGGAATATGGCACCTAGAGTGTAAGAATATTCTGATTACCAGTGTTTACCTATCATCAAACGCCACGTTACATAAAATAAAAAAGGGCCTCTTTATAACTAATTTATAAAATAGAATCACGAGTAATCATATCTATCTAGAAGTTCGGTCAAAAACTAACATGTCAAATCATAAAAAAATCTGAACTAATCTCTTCTGTCGATTTCTATCCAATGAAAATGTACAAAAAAATCAATTTACACGAATCCAGTTGAAAGATGATAGTTATCAGCCAGGTCGAAATTGGAAATTCATTCGAACGTTTTTGTTCCATATTTTTTTATTGAACCGGTCAAAGTGTGCCGTGCAATTTGAAAAACAGATCTTATAGCATTTTGTCTGATCTTTCTGAATCTAATGGAATCTTTCGAGAAAACTGGTCACAAAGTGAACTTTTTTGACATAACAATGAAACATAAAAATTTCCCGAGTACGGACCTGAATATTTTTATTCATAATATGTTATCTTGAATTGTTTCAGTAGAGAAACGTCACTGCCAAATTTCAGCAGATTACGACGAATAATTTCTGTAATATCGACCATCAAATTTATATAGCAATTTCACATAATACCCTGTATCTTCGTTATAGAGGGGCAAAAAAAGGTTTTCATAATTATACATCAACTCGTCTTGATTTCCCCTATTAACCATTTGGTTATGTGGGTCTCCTCATGAAACACCCTGTATATCTGCTCAGATAGCCAAGCCGCAATACAGTGTTTTGTTGTTTTCACATCAAAGATTACACGGGACTGCTTCGAAACACTCATGTAACTGGGAACACACTTGGTGGGTTCCAGGGCATGAAAGGAAATCAAAGGAAATAAGGCAGCTGATCGCCTTGCAGAGAAAGGTGAAGCATCTGCACTCTTTGTTCCTGAGCGTTTTTGTGGGATATGCAAATGTCACCTAGAGGAAGAACTCAGGGGATGGAAAGAAATTGAAGAGACTGGCACTTGCCGCTCTTGCAACAATTTTAATGCGACCGAAACCGCGGAACACGTACATACTTTGCTCATGTAAAGTATGTAGTATGCCAGCGGTTGAATCACCTAGAACAGGTCTATCTCACACCTGCTGAGGTAAAAGTTCAACCATTAGGAAAATTCTAGGCTTCATCAGGAGTCTAGGGTTAGAGGATCAAAATTAGATAAGGGTGATCACAATTGATCTTCTAGGTCGCAGTGATCGAGAGGTCTCCCAGCCTATACCACCCATTAACAATCTACAATCTACAATCTACAATCAGATGAATCAGTATTAATCATACCCATGTAGTGTCAGTCAAACCAGACTCTACCAAAACCCACTTTCTCTCTCAGTCTCTCTTTCTCACATACAAAAGCCGAAAATTCAATCAATTAGATTTAACAAAATGACTACGCTATTCTTAAGATGTCTGATTTCATTTCCCTACAATAACAGCTAGAGAATTTCCGTCAAACCAATCAAGGACACCACGTCGGCGTTGCACCGGTCTAAGATTGTTCCCTATCGACCTAGACCTAACTTGGCAGAAGACCTGAGACACACAACGTACAGGGTCATGAGCTGAGACGGCTTTCTGGAGATATTTATCCCGAAATATCAACGACGTATACTAGGGGTAGAGCCAGACTCAACTCTACTGGAATGATAGTCTTTCCAGCCTAGTATTTATCAGGAGCTCTTCTCTCTTCCTTCTTCTAATGAACGTTGGTAGTATGGTAGTGCAATGATAATTGCGCTATATGCATTGACAGCAAACGAATTCTTTGAAAATATTTGGGGGTGACCCTATCGCTCCCCAAATAGCGACCTCGCACAATGGGACAGTCGGGTTCAACTATTCTCAGAAAAATTCGGCTACTCTGCACGGCAATATCAATCAGCAAACCAACAGCAACGGAGTTGATACAAGAATCAAGCTACTGAATACACTCACACACAGTGTGTAAAAGTGCTCAGTTTTATAGGCAACAGTGAAATTCTCTTAGGCTCCGCCCCTGGAGAATTCACTGTCTTCGGACGGCCATTGCCTGAAGGCCCAAGAGTCCGTTAATTGATTTTTTGTAGAGCGGCGCCAGCAAGTCTGGCGTCCTCTGATTGGCCAGTTCTCGAAAAGCGAGTGAAAAATCTAAAAACTGCAATAACTTGGCAATTTCTCAGCCGATTAAATGAGTGGAGGTGTCACTCGACAGGGGAATTATTCTTCTATCGGATAGTGCAAAAATTAGAGCGGAAAATTGGAAGCTAGGGAGCAGAATCGATGACAGATTACCTTGACAAGTTCTCCAGTCATGGGACAGCTCCATCCCCTGCGGACAACTGCAAAACGCCCTTCCCAGCGTATTTATGCACTCGTGGGAGCAGCCTGCGTTGTATTTCGCACATTCGTCGAGGTCCTCGCAAGACTCTCCATCAGCCGCCAGCTTGGTCCCGTTGAGTCCCGCGCAGCTGCAGTTGTAGTGGCCGAAAGTGTTCACGCAAGTGTCCTGGCAAGGACCATGGCCGTTTCTCAGAAGACATTCGTTGACGTCCTCGCAGGTCTTGAGATCGTCCGAAAGTCGCAGGCCTTTGGGACAGCGGCATTCGTAGGAGCCCAGGGTGTTGGTGCATTTCATTGCGCAGCCGCCGTTGTCTATTTTGCATTCGTTTATGTCTGGAAGTGATTATGAAGGTACAAGATGATTCGCCATAAATGTCCCCCCCCTCTAGCTCAATCGCAGAATTTTTAGGGATCATTTGAAATGATTTTTCATTAAGTTTTTTCCGCTACATCAGAAAATACAGGGTGCTCGGAACAAGCGATGTACAGGGTACTAGTTGATTTTTTGAAATGAGGAACCCTGTATTTCATTTCATTTTAATAATCTCTCTGAAGAGCTGATTTCATCAATGCATCACACTTGAGGTCTAGCGGGAATAATTACGGAGGTACAGGGTTCTCAGAAACGAGATTTTTCAACTTTGAGTCCAAACTATTCATTATTGGTCAAACGAGTCTATCACAACTTTCGATTTACTATCTATTGACATTTAATCGAAACACTACAGGGTGGTTCAATGAATAGCTTCGACAGAACAAAAACCTTGAGTTGAAAAATCTCGATTTTGAACACCCTATATCTCTGTAATCATTCATGCTTGATTCCTAGGGTGATGCATTGATGAGATTAGATTTTCAAGAAGAATCTAAAAATGCAATGAAATACAGGGTGTTTCATTTGAAAAAAATCAACTAGTACCCTGTAGATCGTTTGTTTCGAGCACCCTGCATTTTCTGACGTAGCGGAAAAAAACTTTATCAAAAATTATTTTGGATAATGCCTCGAATTTTGCGATTGATTGAAAAATAACTATGCTAGATGGGGGGACATTTATGGTGAATCACCCTCTACATGTCGACGACTACTGACTTTTGAGAATATGTAAGACATCCCTGGTAGTGAATTGATAAACCCAAGTACTTACACTGAGAATAATGCTTGGTACAGATGACATCTCTCCCCATTCAAGCTTGTAGCGCTTCGGATTCTGATTGGTAACAATTAATACCCATAATAACAGAAAGTTCGTTCCAAGGCAAATAAGCGAAAAATGTTCAAACATTTAGAACATTTCATAGAAGAAAACCTGATATTTGTCCCTAAGACAGTGAATGTGAACAGTCCGCGCTTCATTATTCATCTTGCCGCTGTAAGTTGCAAGCTGCCATCTGTACCCACCATTGTAGGAATCACAACTTCACAATCAATAAATGTCTCATAAAATTCCCAGAAAAACATGTACAATATTCAACAAACCTCAAGGATTGAACAGGTAGTGTCAATCCATCATTCCGAAAAGTAACTACATCAAAATTCGCTATAACCGGTTAACTTCAACTTGTACCACATTAACTATCAACTACATATTGAGAACTTTGACATTGTTCATCATTTTACGGTTAATTATATGTATCAAGGGGGTAAAATAGGCTTTTAAGGACCGTAGTGCAAGTAGTGCAAGAGCCAGTTTGGATATTCGCAAAGGAGACATTATTCTCTTCCATTCGATTTTTCTTTCAACTTGTTATCACATGACGGAATCATGTCCGGTATAATATATGCTTTAGGCTCATATTAAGTGACACAGCTAGTTTTTGAGATCTACCATTCAATTGGTATCGGATGGCATAATTCTCATCTCGTTATCAAATCGCGAAATCAAGTGAAAATTTCCGCACAGGAAAGTGCAATTTTTCAATCATTTTGCTCAGGATAGTGATTGGCATATGTGCCGTACGATAAACTACAATGTTTTAACATGTCTTTGGGACATATATCATCTCGTTATCAGATGATCGTCGAAATTTGCAGCTGGACTATTAGACATTTATTTACTGTCAATATGGAATGTATTCATGATTTTGAGCCCTGGGAGAGAAGGCGGTATGGACGGTACTATCATCCGCGAAGCTGTGTACTGGACATGAAGTTGCTTCCAACAAATTGTTGATATGGAGTAGAAATAGTGTTGGTGCTAGAATTGATCCTTGCGGAACACCAGCATTTATGATAAGAGAGTCAGATGAAACTCCGTCGACCACTACATGGAGAGACCTGTTTGAGAAGAGAAAACCAGCTAGCAGAGAACATAATGATTAATCATTGTTAATTTGGTTGAGTATATAAATTAACCATGGGTATCCTCACTGAATATATTCGTTATTAAGAGATTCCTAGGCCCTCCTGAATCAATCAACAGGTGCCACTGGCTATCGAGAATTCTTACCTATGCACGATCTTCCATCTTTTGCTAAGTAGAATCCGTCCAAACAAGAACATTCAGTTTTGCGTTCGGGATGACAACTATGGGCACATCTATGTTTCCGACACCTGTTTTGCCTGTTATCACTTTGACGTTGTCTGCCACTTTTGAAAAGTACTGTTGTTGCTGAAATGATTGGTGATTATACGGAAACAATCTTGAAATTCGCGGGAATCAATGTTACCAGGTGGCGCTCGGTTTTCATCGTTCCATGTAAAAGCCACGTCAAAACTGGGGGAAAACAAACTCAATCCTCACTTAATCCCATTAGTGCCATTAGCTTGAGTACTGTGTACTGATAAGAGTGATGAGTTTTTAAATTTCTTGACATTAATTGTCAATATTCGATCGAAAACGCTAATAATGCCTGTTGTAGATGTTGTTTTGGCAGTTCTCCGTGCTAATCATGTGATTTTGTGTGAGGCAGAAGACTTCAACAAAAGGCACATTTTTGCACTTTGTCTACAAACTTCGGCGATGAAATCTTCCCCACATGAAGTAAAATTATTGATGTTGGGGTCCAGAGGAACTCCTGTAGAACAATGGATTGGTATTTGTTCATGCAAAGCAGGACAATCTTGGTATTGTAAACATGTTGTAGCTGTTCTTTTATATGTCAATTGATTTGCTCGTCATAATTAGTTTGAATTGTTTGAACTATGTCCAGTTTTTCACCCGCTCACTGTTCACTAAACTAATAAGAATGTAATAATGTAAAAAAATTAACCAACTCAACCATCATCACTACCAACAGTGCCAACACTTTATGTTATTGACAAGTTTGACTACAGCTACAGCAAGCTGAATGCAATGTAGTCTATACACTTTATCCATAGAGAACAGTTTGTTTTCCCCCAGTTTGAAGTTCGTATTATGTAACCTAGATGTCGCCCACTTCGTGAATCTCGCGAATAGGTTGGTTTCTGAAGAGTCTCTTATTCGAATAAGATGTGAATATACCAGGTGATTTTGAAATAGGTACAACAATGAATCACAGTCCCAAAATATTAGATTTGTCCTGAGTCTTTACTATACGGCTTCGCTCATCCATTCTTTACTCTTGTCTGACTATTATACCACACTAACTAGCTTTTCCATTCAGATCGACATAGACTGACGAAGGATAGCAATATTTCTTGAAATAAGTTACCGACATAAACTACTAAGTTGGCCGCAAATGCCATCAAGACAAAATCTCATTCATCCATCAGTTCAGACTTAGTTCCATGGAGCATGTGATCTTACTCACTCTCACCCTTGATTATATACACTAGTGTGAATACTCCAAGCTCTTACTCATGTTTTTTATATACCAAGAGACATTATGAATTACTATGTGTATACTTCTGCGCCTCGAGCAGAAGCGTTTTCAGACAAACAATTTTGGATTACATTGTCAAGTTGTTGGGATACCTCCTGGTATGATGATTATCTTTTTGACTCTTTTGAAGAGAAAAAAACTCGCTTGTCTTGTTAATTATACAGTGTGTCCATTTAGTGCGTAATTCTTCGATATCTCGAAATCCATTATCACCAGAGAAAAACGTTTGGGAACGAATTTCTTCCGTTATTGAAGGTTCCCATCTAAAAAATATCTTCAACAATACGTGAGACCTTGCTACTACCACAGATTAAGGTTTGTTAATCTGTGCTACTACCGTATGCCAAATATATTTTCATAATTTGAATAAATGAATATACCATGCCCAATTCAACATGACTCTTCAATAGTGGTGAAAATAGATTTATCAATTATAAGCTTGGCAACGCCGCATTTGATTTTTTTTGCAGCGATGTGAAGGTAAACCTCGGCGAAATAAATTCCGAATAAACAATACTGGGTGTTCCATTAAAAAAAAACTCGTCTACGAGTCGTCATGCTTTTATAAAACACCCAGCAGTGTTGGAAATATTTTGGAAATAAGCAATTTTAGTTACTGAAAAATATTTTCCTTAACATTTTTTCTTTATAGGCCTGTTCTAGAATACTGTTCCCACATATGGGGTTCAGCACCAAAACATACGCTGATGCTCTTAGACTCCATCCAGAGAAGAGCAATTCGCCTGGTGGGTGACGCCACACTCACTCACTCTTTGACATCATTGAAACACCGTAGAAAGGTCGGCGACCTTTCACTTTTCTATCGATACTTCCACGGGAAATGTTCTTCGGAAATCTCTGCTATCATCCCTTTACTAGCAATACCAATCAGACGAACTAGACAAGCCCAGTCTGCACATCCTTTCGTTGTCAACCTCGAAAGATGTCGAACAGCACTTTATCAAGACTCCTTCATCCATAGAACGGCTAGGCTCTGGAATTCATTGGCTGTGGAAGTATTCCCAACAACATATAATCTCCAGAAGTTCAAAAAAGAATTCCAATTCCTACCTCCTTTCCGTATCCTCCCTAGGAACGTACGATGTTCTTTGAACATTATAGGGATTCCCTTTCGTGCGCTCCAAGCGATAAAAAAAATACGCACTAAATGGACACACAATGTATAAGTTTTGCTATTCATCCCAAATGATCTTGATTTTTGTTTGGAAATTATCAGCCATCCATTGTATATTTATGAATGGATATACATTGGATGCCTATGAATGATATGATATAACCCAAAAATCCGTTGGACCCTCATTTCTGTCCCATGTCCGTATGGAATAATGATGTACTGATAGAATATATTTACCATTGGGGTTTTCCATAGATACTGGAATGGGACCAACCAAATTTGCCAAGAACAAACCATTGGAAGACAATGTCAAAGTCTTATCAGCAATTTTCCTCTTATATTCATCAAAGTTGCCT